TAATTCATATCAGAGGCAAATAAATATACAATCCAAAAGCAACTACCTAGAAAAACCATGTAACCACAAAAAAAAATTGGAAGTGTTTGAACAAACAAAATGAACGCCATTCATACCTTAATTATATTGTTAGCTCCGTTGATGAATACGTTATCGCACTTCAGATCTCTATGAATTATATTGTTCTTGTGCAGATAGTTGAGTCCATTGAGTATCTGTCTGCACCAGTTCTGTATCGCCTGTGGCCTTATTGAATTGACTTTTCTTACATACTGCTTCAGTGTTCCGGAGGTCATAAGTTCGGTTATAAATACGAACTTTGACACCTTCTTCCCATTACACTTCACCTTGCTCTCACTATCAGCCACCCACCAGTCATAGAAGATCAGTAGATTGGGGTGTCTGAATTCTCGTAATAGATTCACTTCCTCTTGAAACTTGATCCGGTCGCGTTTAGATACAGCTATAGTCTTCAACTCATTCCAAGCAACTTCGCGGGCTTCATCCGTATCGTAGCCCTTATAAACCCATTTAAAGGCGCCTTGTCCCAATAATTGATCGGTTTTCTGGAACCTCCCTTTTGGATCGGTCTCCAGCACTCTTTCATCGTTATCATCTCTGTCTTCGCCGCGCACCATGGTGTCTAAAACCATCTGTTTTATGTCTACTTAAATAAATATAGGCAGCACACGCTTAAGATTGTGGGATTTCCACGCAGAATAATTGTATACAGTCTCACGTGATAATAGGGTGAATCTCGATGCGGTCTTCAGAGGATAGACACAAGTTGCCAAACATATTCGTGGAAATGACTCGGAGATACCATCTAGTGAGCGCCGTATGTGCAATATATACAGTTTGTAATATTTGAATGATTAAACAGAGCTGAAAATTGCTACGTATGAGCTCAGCACTTCGTATACCTTGGACTGATTCTAAGGAGGCGATCGAGTATGTTTACCCGCCTAGTAGTGGGATTAAGCAGTAGATCCACAGTTCATATACCCTAAGCTGTAAGCTACAGCGACCCGTGCAACAATACAAAATGTATGTGGTGCTAGTACAAATTACACCCTTTCGCTCGAATCTATACGTGAGGACTGAGGTATGTGCATCTCATATATGTACCGAACTTCTTACAGATATTGAAGATCATCAATATTTCAACGGATCACACATACAAATGTAGCCTTCTAAAATAGACACTCGCATCATTGCGCTTGTGGCTTTTTTATTATAAATAAAAAATGTGTTTGCTTCATCAACGACTGCTGCAGTTCCGGGCTGCTGGCATCTTTCTTTTTTTAAATATTGCTAATACTCCTATTGGTATTGTATTTTTTTTAAATCAGTACTGTACGGTGAACAGTCAGTCAGTCACAGACTCACAGTGACAGTGTGACACAGAGTCAGACTCACAGTGACAGTGTGACACAGAGTCAGACTCACAGAGGGTATTAAAATCACTAATTTACGGGCGGATATTTTACTATTTTAGTTTTTATGTAAATATTTGTTTTTCTGGAGGGAGTGATAAATAAAAAATTAGAATGAGGGGGATGCGCTAACTATTTTAATAATAATAAAAAGGAAATCCGGGGGCTTTGTACTGAAAAAGACTGGATCAAAAATATTGGGTTTTTTGGACATAAATGTTATATGCTCCAAATTGGTATCTCTACTCTAGGGTGTTTTGGATGCTCTATAGGTATATGTACCAGACAAATGATGGGAATGCACAAAAATTCATATTTAAACATTGATTTTCTTCTCTATATACCCAAAAATAGGTCCAAAAAAGGAAATTTGATGACAAAATCTCTCTTTTTGGGCCTACTTTTGGGTATATTGATATTAAACTCTGGTCAAAATACGATTGTTGAGCATACTCAGTTCTAGTTTGATTCTAGATTCCAAATGATCCTAGATTCCAATTTGAACCATATATTTAACTATTTATACTGAATATTTATATCGAACAATGATCCAGTTTTTTTTTAAAAGAGCGCCCGGTTTTCCTCAAATTAATAGCGCATCTCCATCAATACCTAGTCCTAAAAATATTTTGATTTTGGGACTTAAATATGGATTGTGAATTACAGAATCAGACATCAGAGAGTCGAACAAATAGCCGCCCCCCCCCCCCCCCACCCCTTCCCTTCCCTTCCCAAAGTGGCCCAAACAATAAACGTATTTAAGTATCAAATTAAATATCAGTAGTCGAGTTCTCGAGTCTCGAGCTAACCTCAAACCGTTTTCCGTTGAAATTTTTATAAATCGAATAAATATACGTTTACGCTCAACTTTTATTCCATATGCAGTCCTTTGTATGCTCAAAGGTGCAGCTTGACTGTCTAAACATTTAAGTGTGCTCCGTTCTCACCATACTGTTTAAACAGTCCTATAAAAGAACTTAGGTAGGACCTTCTGACCTCAATGTTACCGTTATAACGTTTTTAAAATTGAATAAATACGCGTTCATGTTCAACTTCTATTCCGTACATACCCCCATAAAGGTTTTGTTTTTTGTTTTTTTTTAAAACAAAACAAAAAGGAGTAGACCTCCTCTCTCAGAGAGAGAGAGTGGAGTGTGACTGGAGATAAACTTCTTGAGACTGAGAGTTGAGACTAGAGTTGATACTCTTCCCAGACTCTAGAGTCCACGGTCCACGGCCGTCTATATTACATTATATATAAATAAAACTGGATAGACTGATAGAGTCGCTGAATTTTAGAATTTACGATTATCGTCGGCTCAGTAATTTGAGATTTCTGCTCGCGAGTCGCGACCCTTTTCCAAAAGGCCGAGACGAGACTTGAGAGTTGCGATTTGAGAGTTGAGACTTGAGAGTTGTTGAGACTTGAGAGTTGCGACTGGACCGCTGGAGTTATCACATTGTCACAACTCACAACACAACAAGAGAAGAGTGAGAAAAGGGAGCGAGTCGATAGGTCACGAGTTCACGACTGCTGAGTGAGCCGTTTGAGTACGTAGTGCTGACTGCTGACAGTGCTGAGTGCCGAACTGCGACTGCAAACGACAGCCGAGTTCCAACTGCCAAGTGGTAAATAACTGCCAAGTGCTGGCGCGTAGCCCGCGCTGCGAGGCAGAGCCGAAAGCCCGAACCCCGATAGCCGAGTGAAAGTGACACGCCGAGTCGCAACGCCAACTGGGTTGCCACTGTCTGCCTGTCTGGGACTCTGAGTCTGCCGCTAACTGCTTTCTTTTAGTAAAAAAAACTGGTGAGTGATCACTGATCAGACTTTGAGACTTTCAAGTTTAGAGAGAGTTTGAATCCGTAGTCCGCGACTCGTCTGTCGTCACTCTCTTGACTCTTGAGTGGCTCGAATCTATTGTATTTCTTCGAAACAAAAAAAAACATATCCTTCTATATATAAAAACATGACAAAAGAGTTTTTTGCTCCTAAATAAAAGTCGCTGTTTGATTAGTTTTTGTCAATTTTATAAGCATCGAAATTCCCAAAGTTCGGTCCTTATTCTCCAAATCCAAAAAATCGTCCCAAAAATGATTATAACAGTTTTGGCGCCAAAAATTACAAATTCCCAAATTCGGTAGTAGTAGCTTTATTCTTAGGTTTACGATATAAGCAGTCTTTAGTCCTCTTCGTCCTTATGTTCTTTATGTTCTTAATGAAAGTCTGAACTCTGACGCTGGACGTGGACTGCTTTTATAGTCCGTCGGGACCTATCTCTATCTATTCCCGAACGAACTTGTACTACTGCATCCAACAACTGATTCGACGCATCCTGGTAGGCCCGAAACTGCCGCCCATTGGCCCTGACCTCCTTCAGCAATTACATGAGTGCCACGACTTCCACGGTATCTGGACCCTCCACGAACACCTTGGATCTTTACTCCAGCATGTTGAAGAACCACCGTACCCTCACCCGTCCCTGACACATCAACATATGTTTCCTATACCCCGGCTAATCACGCTGTTGAAGTACTACTTCCAAATATCGGTTCAAACCAAATCATCGCGCTAGTTGGTTCCGACTATGATACTTCTGATCCAGGTCATCCAACACAAACCGAATTCATCCGTGGTCTGATGTGGCATTGGCTTGCCCCCATCCTTGCTTCTCGACCGGATTATGACTGATAACCTGGTCCTTCTCGGTATTTCGTACTCTGCACTAACCCATTCCGCGGCACTACACGGCGCAGACCCGATCCGTACCACAGAGGTGATTACTCTACTTAGTAGGTCAGCAAGCAAATATACGGAACATTCGATAGTAATAGTGTTTTATCGACACCGGCCCGAATTGACTCAGCACATATCTTCCATTGTCGACTCACTTGGCCCAAGCTTCAAACGGGAATTTACTGACCACTTCTTCCCATCAATCTTTCCTGAACCACTACAGCGACTATGAGAGCCATACAATATGTTCATACATTGTATCATACATACTTGCCATTTTTGAAATATATAATATTATCCCTAACATCCTAGGCTATCAACTATATCTATAACACTCGTAGTGAGAGGGAAAGGCACGGGCCTAAAACAATTCTCTGCTACGATGTTTTCGAACTTTTCATGGCGTCATTGTCTAAGTATTCATAGGGATAATATTATTTATTTCAAAAATGACAAGTATGTATATTGCATAGACAATTTTAGTATGACCCATGTAGAATGACACTCAAAAATCATCAGGGCCTGGTTATAAACGATTAACCCTGGCTTGGGCCCTGAAATAAAAACCCAATGTGAATTTCTGGAATCATGACTCGTCATTCGGGTCCCGCCAAAATTCAGGGTACCGAAGAGTGTTGAAAATTCTTTAGGAATCCCGAAACTTCTACTGCCGGTGCCAAGCGCTTCTGGCGCCCATTGTTATCTTCATTGACGAACTGACGGATCACCTTTTCATAAAGTCCTCCTTAACATCTTCCAAGTCCAAATCCTTCCAAGTCTCAGAGCGATATTTCTGCAGTGTGGTCAAGAATTGCGACGAATACTTGAACCACACTTTCTCAGACTTCGTTTGGAGATTTCGTTCAAACCGTTCAGCAATAGCCTGGAACCATTCAAATGTGTACAAGTACTCCTTCAAGGTAACTAGTACTTGCACTGGGTCCGACCTGTCTTCTTGGCTGCCGACGGCTAGCTTGAGCTGTTCACGATGGGATCAAGCCCAAAATCCAACAAAATCGCTGGTATCCAACTCCTTGCCTGAGTTGTAATAGGCCGGGTCTCTCCATTAGACTCTGTGTATAAACGTACTCTTAAGCAGTACGAAAATTATAAACG